CTCGCCCTCGCTGAGCACAGGCAAGAATGGACGCAGCTGAGCCAGGTGGTAGTTAATATTAGATTAGATTGTTTGCTCCTTGAGGGCAGTGACTGTTTTTGTCATTCTTTGTATCCCCAGCACTTAACACAGTGCCTGACACATAGTAACCATTTAATAAATGCTTGACACATAGTAGGCACTTAATAAATGCTTACTGACTTAATATTTTCTTAGCATTCCAATGGGATATCTCATGCACCCTCCTGGTGTGTGCAGACCCTACTTTGTAGACCACTGTTCTAAGACAAGAGAACGCACTAACCTGCATTGGTAGAGGTAGTTCTTTGATAGTTCATTGATATACCAATGAAATCACATATCTCTCCAATAAAAAAATGCCCGTTAATCCCTTTTCTTTTATGTTTAGTGCAGGGACAATACTGCATATCAAAAAGGATAACTGTTAATTACTTCTCTCCTAAACTCTGTCCTTTGTTTAACAAATAATTTATTAATACATTCAATACTATCAGAAATACTAATTGAAAATAAGACGGGGGTCATCATAAAAACGAAGTTAAAAAATATTGTTATAAAAGATGATAGCAGCATACAAAGGAAATGACCAGTGACATAATTAAAGGTTTTAAATTAGGGAGTCGTTACGAAACAAGGATCCTCCCCAGGATTAATGCGTAACTGTGCCAGAGGATGGATTAGAAGAGACTGACCCCTTACATCAAACAAAGCCAACACACCCTCGCTTGACGCCCCTCCCCAAATCACAGTATGCAAAACAAAGGAAAGCAAGCCAGTAATGAAAGCTTACCACCTGTTTCTTTCCCATACCATCTAAAGCCCGCCTCGGAAAGAGACGGCTACCGCAAAGCTGTGGGAAGCCCGGAGAGCAAGAAGCCACCCCTAGCCCCGCCCACTGGAAGCTTACCACGTGGCGGGGAGGGGCAGACGCGCCGTGCGTCATTGCGTTACGCGCCAAGCCCTCGCGGGCTGAGTCCCGCCCCGCCCCGCCCCGTCCCGCCCGTCTAGCTAGTGGGACTGAGAGGGCGGCGTGGGGGTGACGTGACCGAAGCGGGAAGATGAAGGGCAGGGGTGGAAAGGACGGTCTCGCCACAGGCGGACCAAGCTCTCTGGGCCAGGTGGGACGGCGAAGGCGGTCGGAGTGAAGGGAGGCCCAGAAGGGGAGGTGGGGAAGGAGGACCCAAACGGGCTTTGGCCGGGGAGGGCGGGGCGTCGCCATGGCAACGCACGCCCAAGCCTGCGATCAGCCCCTCCCCCTCCCGAGAATAAGCCCCTCACTCCCACCCCCAAACGAGGCGGGAGAACGGGCATCGCCCCCCTCACCAGACAACTCCCCTGGGACGCGACCCCGCTTCTCCAACCGTCCAGCTCGGGCCCAGTATCCTCCGCTACGGCTCACCGGGCTAGGTCCATCCAGCGGGGGTCCCGGCGCCGGCCTCATGCCGCGTCCTCGGGGAACTTCCTGTGCAACCGCCGGCCGGCCCGAGCCCCCGCCGCGATCCCGATCCCACCCGAGGTGCGCCGAGCTCCGCCCCGGGGGGTCTGGGCACGGAGCGGAGGAGGTGCAGGCGCCGGGGACGAAGCCGACTCCCCGCTGTGCGGCGGCTAGGGGCGTGTTTAGACCCCTCCCCTTTGGGAGGCTGCTTTTCCTGACCCAGGCTTCTTTCTTCCTTCCCGCCTGAGTGTGATGGAGCGGGTGTGTGGAAGTGTGCGTGTGCGTGCACACGAGTGTGCCTGGCCCTGTGTGTGTATGTATGTTTGAGAATGTCTTTGTACAAGTGTGCCTGTGTACGAGTGTGCCAGTGTGTGTATGAGTGTGCCGGTGTGTGTATGAGTCCTCGTGTGTGTGTGGTTTGTGTACAGTATACCTCTATGTGTGACTGTGTATGAGTACACCAGTATGTGTGTGTATGTCTGTATGAATCCTCCCATCTTTGTGTGTGGTCAGTGTACAAGTGTGCTTGAGTTCTATGTGTTTGTGCACTTGTGCACCTGAGTGTGTGTGAAAGTGTGTATGTGTGTGCCCGTGCCTGTGTGGCCAAAGACTGAGGCTTCTGTCCTCCATCCTCACTCGTGGCTGTTTATGAGAAAGGCAGGGAACTTTTTTCTGTTGAGGGCCACAGACATCTAGCAAATGATAGTGTAGGGTCATGCAAACCTAAATGGGCGGTTAGTAGTGGATAGAGGCTGTTCCTGGAGTCAGGAAGACCCCAGTTTAAATGTGAACTCAGACACACTTAGTAGCAGTGTGATCCTGGGCAAGTCGCTTAACCCTCTTTGCCTCAGTTTCCTCATCTATAAAATGAGATGGAGAAGGAAATGGCAAAGTGCTCCAGCATCATTGCCAAGAAAACTCCAAATGCTCATGAGGATTTGGACACAACTGAACAACAACATGTAAAGTAAACGTGAAGCCAGTTTAGTTTCAGTGGTACGCTTTGATCTTTAAGCAGGTACATAGCATTTTGTGTTATGTAGTATGTGCTTGCTTTTTAAATTTAGGACTTTTTTGGGGGTCAGGGAAGTGTTCTGGCTCCATGTGAAAACTCCCTCCTCCAATGAGTGACTAAATGAAAGTAATAATGACTTTGGAGTTTGAGGGTGTTCAAATCTTGGCCCTACTTCTTGTAGGGCAAGTCGCTCAGCCTCTCTGGCCTTCGTTTTCCTCTTCTGTAAAATGAAGGTATTGGATTATATGACCTCATATACTGTCTCATACAGGTATGACAAAGTGAAGTGACTGGCCCATGGTCACACAGCCTGTCAGAACATGAATCCAGGTCTTCCTGAGGCTAAGGCTGGACCTCTTTCCAATGCCCATGTTGCTTATCAAAATAGCATTTTAAATTTAGAAGGAACCTTAGAGAACATTTAGACCACCCTTTTCATTTTTCAGAGCCTGAAAAGTGATTTGCACAAAGTAGTAATTATCCAAGGTAGGATTTGAACCCGGGTTTCTAAATCCCTGATCCTCCTGAATCCATACTCTTTTCACACTGCCTCTTAGAATGAGGAACCTAAGACTGAAATATTTTAAAGTGTCTTATTTTTTTAAAATTTTTATGTTATAGATAGGGAGTGGGAATGGGTAGAAATGTTGAAGGTAGGCAGTGAAACAGAGACAGCCACAGAATAAATAATAAAATAGGGAGAAAAAGGCAAAGAATCATACTTCTGTGGTGTGATATCCCCATTTTGTGTATGTGTATTTAGTATCTCTCATCCAGAGATTTAAAGTCAAATTTCATTCTCACAATTACAAGTTTCCTTGGGGAAGGTTCTTGGTATTTGCTCACTGTATGATGAAATTGAGTGGAGTGAGATCCACTTGAGGGTTCCCTGTCCATATTCAAACCCAGAGATTAAATCTGTAACTGTCAGAGGTTGGATAAGAATTGTATGCTGTTTGCCCTGACCCCCTCCCTCTCCTTCCCCCTAAATGGCTTGGAGTGAGATACCTCTGCATTTTTAACTTTTGAGAGACAGAAACACAAAATCAAAAATTTAACAAGTTATTTCTAGGCTTGAGTTGAAAAGTCTGGCACTTTTTTTTTGGTGAGGCAGTCAGGGGGTTAAGTGACTTGCCCAGGGTCACGGAGCCTGTAAGTATCAAGTATCTGAAGCTGGATTTGAAAACTCAGTTCTGCTTGACTCCAGAGCTGGTGCTCTATCCACTCCACCACCTAGCTGCCCCCTAGTCTGGAACTTTTTAACAGGACTGAAAACAACCAGAGCCACAGGCTAAAAAGTGAAATTAAATTGATCAATTAATGTGACTGATCCTCAATTTAAATTCAGGTACTGAGAAGTCAGAATCACTAGAGAATATTGTTGCTTATTAAACCTTTGTTTCACGAAGAAATTTGGGATACAGTAAAAAAAAAGCACTGTGTAATTTCCTCAAGGTAATGCAGCCCATTCTTCTTGTTCAATTCTGGGCCCAGGTTATTGTTCATTTTCAATATCAACACAAGACTTGTACTAATAGACTATCTCTATTACTGGGTTGTCCATCCAACTGCACATCTTGACCCGAACAATAGGCTTTTTTCAACTACTTGTTTTTTTTCCTGCATGGGTAGTTAGCCCATACTATTGTGTGATCATGGATCTCATTTGGAAAGGAAAGAAGGAAGGAAAACAATCAGTTCATAAATGCTTACTGTGTGCCCAATGCTGTGCCAAGTGCTTTACAAATGTCATTTGAACCTCACAACAATCCTGGAAGTAGGTGTTATTATTACCCCCATTTTACAGTTGAGGAAACTGAGGCAAACAGAGATTAAGTGACTTGCCCAGGGTCACGCAGCTAGTAACTACCTGAGGCTGGATCTGGACTCAGGGAAAGTTACAGTGTTCTAGGATTTGGTGCAATCAGCATTAAAGTTGAGGGTTACAATCTAAAGGACAATAGAAAGATCCCTGAATGTGAGTTTCAAAGGAGAAACAATATAAAGGATATCAGAATTATGCATAACTGGCCAAAAGATGGGCCAATTAAAAGGATAACCAGTAGATAGACAGAGCATGCATTTCATACCATAAAATGTCAAGACAACTAGAGGGAAGTCCCCAGCGTGGTGGGTGGAGGATTGGTGGGAGAATATGGAGAAGAGAAGTTACGTGAATGAGTCTCCATGATATGAGGGCCCTTTATCAGTGAGATCATGGATCAATCATAGTTATATACATGGTCAAAGAGCCATGTATAGCAACAATGAACTTGTATAGTGAGACACAGAAATGGAACAGTGACCTTAACTTATAAAAGGGTCTCACATCCAAGGCCCCCGAACAGAGAATCTCTATGAAATCATGAACCATTGTGATCTGGCTTTACTAATTGAGCTACGTCTGGTTCCAGATCAGCTATTCTGGGTGTGTTTTGTTTTGCTGAAACCGAATAATGCAACACAACACATCTGTGCAATTAAAACATATATATATACTTTTAAGAATAAAGTGAACAAAATGTGCTGTAGCACTGAAAAAAAATGGCCCAGGTATAAGGTTATGCAAGCTATAAACGAAATGCTTCTTTTTGCACTAGCTCTTTTTCAGTGTTGTTCCAAATCCTCTTAGCAAAAATGCTTCCTTAAAATCTGGCGTGAGGATCAAGCCTCAAGTGGGCCAGGTAGGGAGGCCTCCTGGTTAAGGTTCCGTGTCAGAACAAATCCATGTTGCAGGGACCCACTGTGGCTCATCCTGGGCCTGCTGCACAGCAGTCAACAACTCCGCACAAGCCTCTTGCAAACTGTCATTCACAATCACTTGATCAAAAAACTGACCAAACTGAGTTTCCATTTTTTTAGCTAACTCCTCCATCTCCTGTAGGTCTTCATCCTGTAACAGAGAGAGTAAGGATGAATGTGCACAATACAAATAGCAGTACTTGGTCTAGCAGTTCAGTTATAAGATAGTTTTGAGACCAGTGAGATAATGGGATCACGACTGTAGAGCTGGAAGGTATCTTAGAGACCCTAGCTCAACCCTTTCATTTTACTGAGGCCCAGAGGGGCACCGAGCTAGCAAGCACAGTGGCTAAAGCTCTGGACTCATCTTACCAAGTTCAAATCTGGCCTCAGACATTACTAGCTGTGAGATCCTGGGCAAGTCACTTCACCTTATTTGCCTCAGTTTCCTCATCTGTAAAATGAGCTGGAGAAGGAAATGGCAAACCACTCCAGTATTTTTGCCAAGAAAACCCAAATGGGGTCATAAAGAGTCGGACCAACTGAAAAACAATTCAACAACAACAAAAGCTTCGGCCCAGAAAGGTTAGGTGATCTGCTCGAGATTATATAGATTGTAAGAGGGCCAAAATTTGAAGTCAGGGCTCCTGAGACAAAATTGAGCACCTTTTCCATTAAGCAGTGGGTGAATCAAAAGACTATACTACATGATTGATAAATGGTAGAGCTACATTGAAAAAGTTCTTATTCTTTCATTTTGCTAATTGGCACATTTACTTGCTGTTATGTCCTAGAGACACCAAGAAAATCAAGATTTTATGAAATATATCATTAAAAATAATAGAGAATAACAAGATATATAAGAATATACAGGTGTTTGTCATTTTATAAAGTATAATTCTGGACAATAAATTGCTACAAATAATTTTAAATGAAATGGGAGGTTTTTAAAGCACCCTCCAGTGAATCCTTTTATAAAGCAAAGAATTCTTTTTAAATATGTGAATAAATACTCTCATTTCTATTTCATAAATTGACTTTAGCCTATGATATTGGATTTCCTTAAAGCAAGGAATACCTGAACAGAAAAAGAAAAATGAGACAAATCTTCTATCTCATTAATAGCTTCATATGTAGCAAGGATTCTTTAACTTTAAAGATGATGTTTATTAAAAAATAGGAGTTATAAGGTACTTGTTTTTCTGAAAATAAAATTTCTAAGCAATAGGAACACAACAAAAAAGTGTTTTGGCCGACTAGAAATGATAAGAGGCATACAACTCTCCAGTTCCCTGAATCTTACCTTGAATTTAATGTTGACATAATAGTCTGTAATAATCCTGGCATTTTTCCGGGACTGCCTCATATGATTCAGGGTGGACGGTTTTATGAATATGACATAAGGCTTCAGTTCGTGTGTTCTGGCCACTTGAATACTCTACGCAACACAGTTCAAAGAAAATTTTACCACATACATTACAAAGAACCGTTTCATTCTGAATTTTCTGTTCCCTCTGGTGAGCATGTTTAACATTTACATTTTTAGAAGAGTAGCAACTAACAACCTTGTCATTATCAATGAGATATATGTTTTACCCCTGCCCCAAGCACTCTTGATAGTAGAAAAAAATATATGTGCTTGAAGTTAGAATGGTTAACAATTAGTAATTTCAATTTTAGTAATTTATATGACAAACTTATTACTTATTGATTTTGTAAATGGATGTTCTTTGTGCAGGTTTCGTTTGTAAGTGAATACAATGCTGGTAGTCATAAAGGTTTTTTTTCTTCTTCTACCATACTTGGTCTTGAGTCAGTATGGCACCAATCAGTGACAAATTAAGAGAATGATACGGTCTGAAAAACTCTTATTGAATATTTACTAACAAATCTGTAACTCATAATCTTTGTGAGATCTTCAGAAGGGTGGTCTTAAAGAGAATTGGTTTATAAAGATACAGCTGAGGGGTACGTGACACTCTCCTCTCCATATTCAAAAATCTATTGTCTCATAGTACATGTTGAGCTCTTTTCTATTCCACAACTAAAAACTAATGGAATATGATAGGGTACTCTTTCCAGGTCAGGCCTTATCTGGAGTTCAGTTCTGGACACAGCATTTTTGGAAGGATGTTTGATGAACTGGAAAGAAGAGAAGAGCAATCTTGATGGTGCTGTGCTCCTAGTTACAGAGCTAGTTGATGGCAAAGACAGAACTAAAGTCCAGGTCTCCTAACTCCAAGTCCAGTGTTCTGATTCCCCCCCACCCCCTTCACCGCCGCTGAAAGTGGCTCCCTAATGCCTATAGGATAAGCAATTAGTCACCATTCCACTTTTCCTGATCTATTTCTCATTCCTTCATTACAGGCATTGTATATTCCAGCCCAAATAGATAGCTAGCAGCTCGTTGATTGTCATAATAATTGTAGAGCCCTTAGCACAGTGCCTGGCATGAAGTAAGCGCTTCCCAAATGTTAGCTATTATTATTGGTATTATTTCTATCTGTCCAAATCCTTAGCTCACTTCTAGGCTCAGCTGTGGTGCTACTTCCACCATGAAGCCTCCCCTGATTCCCTCTGTTATTACTATTTTCTCCTTCCTCAAATATTCTAGAGTTCTTTGATCTGTCTTTTGCCCTCATCATTTCCTGCCCTGGAAGATTCTCACATGGCATGATTTTGAGGCCTTTTACCATCCTGGTCACCCTTCTCTGTATGTTTTCTAGCTAATGCCCTTCCTAAAATGTGGTGTCCACAGATATGACCAAGGCAGAGAACAATGACACCACTACTTGCCATCAGTAATTGCTAGATGATGATTCACAGTCATAAAGTACCACTGAGAGAATATTGGTGTTAAGAATCTGATAGGCTTTTATATCAGCAAGTAGCTAATGGAAAAAAAAAATACTTCGTAGTAACCCAAAACTGATACATCTGACATCCTAAGGGAATGGAGGCTAATGGAAACGTTCATTTCATTTTATTTTAGGAGGCAATCAGGATTAAGTGGCTTGCCCAGGGTCACACAGCTAGTAAGTGTCTGAGACTGGATTTGAACTCAGGTCCTCCTGTCTCCAGGGCCAGTGGTTTATCTACTGTACCACCTAGTTGCCCTGGAACATCTATTTTAAACAAAAGAAGTTTCTCTCTTGTGTCAAATCAGCAATGGTCTGTATGGAACACAACAGAACCCGAACATAAATATAAAATCATTGCCCACCACTTTTTTTTTAACACTTCTAGGCATGGCTTATTTAAATATCTTTCAAGCCTACAGAGTGATGAAACTCAAGAGGTAGATTTCATAGATGGCTCACCTGTGGTTCTAAGTCCATTACACAGACTTTTCCTTCATCAAGGACCTTTCGAACAGCATCCACACTGGTACCATATAGGTTTCCTTTGTACTCACCATACTCCAACATTCTATAAAGATAGGACAAAGGAAAGAAAAATTCCTACTACAAGAATTTGCAAAATATCTTTAGTTACAAAGTCTAAAAATATTATCCAAGAAGATAATCTTAATAGAAAGTATAAAATATGGATACTTTTCTGTAAAAAGAGGAATCAATAAGGGATTTAGGTAGGACCAAATGGTTCAGAAGACCTATGGTTCACCTACTTGTGAAAAAAATCTTTAAATTTTGCAATTCAATTCTTCTTCCCTTCTGAAAGATAATGAACTATATGGGATTCCATGTTATTTGTGACTCAGGGAGTTCCTACAAAGGGGCTTTAGAGAATATGCACGAAAAAGGAATTCATATCTGGCAATATGTAATAAGAGTTACAAAAATTTGGCTTGGTGATCCTACCATGAAGACTTACAAGAAAAGCATGTTATTTATTAAAAGGATAAAAAGACCTAGCTATATAAAAACATACATAGCACAAGTGTACGTAATATCAAAAACATAGAAACAATCCATGTGTCCAGTGATTGGTAAATGGCTATATACAAATTGTCAGTATGATAGAATATTATTGCACCAAAAGAAATGGCAAATATGAATAACAAAATAATTTATAGAAGGGCACATGAAATAATGTAGACGGAAGGAAGCAGAACGAGAAAACAATATATACACTGAACAGGAGTGTGTGTGTGTGTGTGTGTGTGTGTATGATAGCAGTAAAAAAATAAAATACACAGAACTAAAAGAGAGCAGAAGGGGACTGAGAAACAAACAAGGCATTGTTGTTATTTTCTTGGAGTTCATGTAAACTCTTCTAAAACAAATTTTTAAATACTTTGACAATTATAGTCCTATGTATTTATTTTTATTTCAAAATTTATTCTTATTAATGGTTAATGTTTGTAACAAAAGTAGTTTCAAAAGGAAGAAATTCATTCACTTCATTTGAACAATTTATTCATGTTGAACTTTGAAAGGAAGAGAGAAAATGAATCAGTGACTCCATGTTCTAGTTACCTGTGACCATACACCAAACTTTCAAATGTTTCCTTGGATACGTAGTGATACTCTCGACCATCCTCTTCATAACTCTTTTTAGAGCGAGTGGTATCTATTGAGAAGAATTAACGAAAGGCCTTTGGAGTTCATTCATTTATTAGTTCAATAGAAATGTACTGTCTTAGATATGAAGAGGCCATTGAAAGATGAATATGTTATACTTACTCTTGTCAAGGAATTTACAGTCTAGTCAGGTTGTTGGAAATATATGAATTTAGTCGTGAACATTAAGACAAGTTCTTAATTTCCCTAACACCAAATAGAGCTAACATTTGCTAAGAAATTGGACATGTTTGTATCTAAGTTGGTAGTTGGCCCAGGGGATAGAATGTTGGATGAGGAATCAGGAAGGCCTGGGTTTGAATCCTGAAGACTCAAGCTGCATGACCCTGGGCAAGTCACTGAATCTCTCTCAGGCAATCTCCTCATCTGTAAAATGAGGAGAATAGCACTTATTTCCCCATTAGAATGAAATGAGAAAATGTATGTAAAGTGCTTTACAAACCTTAAAGCATTATATGAATGCTGTTGTAATTACAAGAATTTAGTGAGTATCTTTGTGGCACAGTGTACAATACTAAGTCATAGTATCACAGATTTAGAGTCCCTTTGTACCTCAGAGGTCACCTAGTGCAATTTCCTCATTGTACAGCTGAGGAAACTGATGCCCAGAGTAAGTATTGTTTCTACAGTCAAACAAGTAAGAAATGGTAAGGTCAGGATTTTGATTCCATAGGACCCTGTGACTCCAAAGTCAGTCCTTCCAAATCAGCAAATGCTACGCCAGGACTTGATTTATTCTTTTGATTGTCTAGACCTAAGAAAATGGTGGAGAAATGTTAATAGTGCAGATGAAACTTAAAAGTGCATTGTGGGTACATTTTTTTCTACCTGGAGAGAGGGTTGTTAAACATTTGCCAGCCCTCCCTGTCTATGAGTGACCCTTCAGGGTGATCGCTTATAAAATATATTCCCAAAGGCTCTCCATGGACCCAGATTATAATATTGAAACAGTTTCGCAGGTTCCAAGTCTCAGGTCTAGGGATATAGAGACTAGGGCCCTCCCTAATCAGTCTGACAGGTGGGTGTGGTTACTTTGGTCACACACCGTCTCAATTTATGTAACACTTGGTGCAGGAGGGAGAAGTTCACCATGTATTGCCAATCAAGGGAACTCTTGCAAATTCCACTGCAAATATTCTCTCCTGTAAGTGTTCTTTTAGGATAAATCTGTGGGTTTGCATTTGACCAATTCAAGGTTGGAGCCAGAACCAATAAACTAACTAATGGTTTGATGTAGACCCTAGTGATGAAGAGAGATTAAGTTCTTTTAAGAGTTCTGAAAGGCAAACTTTACTCATGGGATCATTTCATTTTCTCCTTTATGTTTAGAGCAGGAAAAAGTGATAACTGCATTTCAATGTAACTGCTTTCTTTTGTAATCCTGTCTTTTACTTTATACATTTAAGAACAATTTTCTGAGGAGTGTTCCACAGCTTCACCAGACTGGACCTGGCCTCAGATATTTACCAGCTGTGTGAAACCTGAGCAAGTCATTAACCTCTGTCTGCCTCAGTTTCCTCAACTGTAAAATGAAGATAATAATAGCACCTACTTCCCAGAGCTGTTGTGAGGATCAAGTGAAATAATATTCATAAAGTGCCCAACACATACTAAGTACTCAATAAATGTTTCCCCATTTCCTATATCTTTTACTGAACTTCTCAGTTGGAAAATGAGTAAAACTATTACAACTCCTAAAAGGATAGTGAATTTCATCAAAAAGTTTAAGGCAATCTCTTCTTCCTTTCCTCAGCAGAACTAGTGACTTAGAAGAGGACTTTGATATATATGTAAATATGAATATGCATATATGATATATATATGTGACACATATATGACAGGTTGAAATTTGTGAATTTGGGTATAACTTAAGATATCCATGATATAAATTCTTAATCTTGCAATAATTTAAATAAACTTTCACAAGGATAAATTGCCATATCAATTGAAATAGTTAAGAAACTCCTGCTGAAGTTTGAGACAAAGCAGACTACATAATAGCGTGCTAGAAAAGAAATCCATAAAACCTTGAAGACATGGGTCCAAGACAGAATGATTTTACAAAGAGCCTAGCAAAGTCATCGCCATCTCTCATCCTGGCTCGACTCCAACAAATCAAAACAAAATCTGGTTTGGAATGCCTGTCAAGGTCCCCTCCCATCTTGTGTTTTTATATCAAAGGGGATATCACCTGGCTAATGAAATTAATCCGTTTTCAGAAGCAGAATTTAAGGGAGCTTTATTAAAACATGAAGTACAAAAGGAAAATGGAACTTACGTGGCACTGCGCTTTGAAAATGATTTGGATCAGTTTCAATCAGTCGCCTTCTCAGTTCATTTACTCCAACACCAGAAGGGCCTGAATGGCGTGGGGTGGGAGGGAGGGGTAAAAGACCAGATACAGAAATCATTAAATATGAATGACTGCAATTATATAGTGATGAAGTCACCATCACTACTATCCTTATTTTAGGGGGGAGAAAAGAAGAGAGAAAAGATAAAGGATGAATTACACAACTTCCCTTTGAACAAAGTTGGACAGCTCTAAAGGGTAATTAGGAATTTTCCTGTTGATCTGTGGGAATAATCTGCATTCCTTAAACTTTTAGAGTTGGTGACAGTGCTCCTGGAAACTGGACATTTTGTCCGTTGCCTGGGCATCCTGGGAACTTGGTGCCTCCTCACCTCTATCTTACAGAATCCCTAGCTTCCTTCGAAGTCCTACTTAGGTACCACCTCTTGCTATGGACTTTTCCTGATCTACCCTATTGTCAGAGCTTTCCATCAGCCCTCCCTCCCCCATTTATTTTGATACATTTTTGGGGGGGCTAGACAATGGGGTTAAGTGACTTGCCCAGGGTCATACAGCTAATAAGTGTTATGTTTTTGAGGCCGGATTTGAACTCAGGTCCTCCTGACTCCAGGGCCAGTGCTCTATACACTGTGCCATCTAGCTGCCCCGATACATTTTTAATGTCCTTATCTGTGTACATGTTATTTACTCCCAGTGGAATGTAAGCCCCCAGGTACTGTTTCATTCTTGTCCTTGTATCTCCAGTGCCTAACCCAGTTCCTGGTACATAATTGGTACTTAATAAATGCCGATTGAATTAAAGTGGATTGCATACTTAAATACTTCCTAAAGAATGTCTTCTGAATGGGAACATATAGTAACTACACTGGAGACTTGTTTTAATATGACTTGTTATAGAGCTCAGGTAAGAATAAGCCACATTATAACAGGACTGTGCTGTACTTTAGGAATAAACTACCTGATATAAAATGGGGGGGGAGGAGAAAGAAAAGGGAATAAGCATTTATATAGTGCCAACTACATGCCAGGCACTGTGGTAAGTGCTTTACGTGCTTTATTTCATTTTATCATCACAGCAACTCTGTGAGGTAGGTGCTATTATTATCCTTATTTTAAAGTTGAGGAAACTGAAGAGTCAAATAGAGGTTAAGTGACTTGCCCAGGGTCACACAGCTGGTAAATTGCCTGATTCAAAATATAGTTGCCCTGTAAAACAGAGGGTAGCCCTTTGCCTTTGTTTTTCCTTTTATAAATACACCTGCTGATGAGTCTTTACAAAAGGCTCCACTGCATTTCCATCACCTGGCGTTTATCACTTCAAATGCAGGATTATGCTCCAAAGCTTTTGATCTGTGTAAGGAGTGACAGTTCCCATTAGGATAGTAATCAATACTGGGACCTACCTACAAGCACAATCAGGCGATGCTTATCAGAAGGATGCCGCTGGTACCTTACCACCTCCTCATAAGGGGCTCCCAGGGCATTGTAGCAGTGAGTGTAGGCGGGCAGCTGGCTGGTGTGAGATTTTCTGCGACAGAGGCGCATGCTTCTTCGGAAACCGGCTGGGGAAGGTAAAAATCAGATCCATACCTAGCAGCAGTTTTTAAAAATCTGAGACTGCACAAACATTGTTTGGGAACAAGAGGCACCCTTAAATTAACGTTTTAAGCCAGGACACTGGTGGCGCAGAGACTCAGAGGCTGCCCCTAAGGCGAGAGGAAATAAAGAGTTGAGCTCACTTGGAACTTGACCTTTCTGCAGGCTTAGATACTGTTGATCACTCGCTTTCCCTTAATGCTCTTCTCTCCAGGTTTTTGCCACACTCTTCTCTCCTGGTTCTCCTACCTGCCTGATTGCACCTTCTCAGTTTCCTTTGCTGGATCATCATGCGAGTCCTGGCTACTAACCATGGGTGTCACCCAAGGTTTTGTCCTGGGCTCTCTTCTCTTCCTCATTTCACTTCACTTAATGATCTCATCAGCTCTGTGGATTCAATAATCATCTCTATGCTGATGACTTTCAAAACTATTAGAAATCTCAAACTGGATGTCCCATAGATACCTTAAACTTAATATGTCTCAAATTTAACTCTTCATCTTTCCCCCTAAACCATCCCCTCTTCCTCACTCACTTCCCTAGTACTTTAGGGGTGGGGGACATCTCCAGTCATCCTTGCTACTGTAGTCAAATGGCTTCGGAGGAGAAAGTGAGGCTGGTGACTTTGCACAGCCCTCCCTCACTTAAATCCAATTGACTTGCAAGTCATGGTATTACCTTCCTGATGTAAGGACAAACAACAACAACGTTACCATCAGGGATCCCACCGTCCTCCCATCACACAGGCTCACAACCCTCACTCTTTCACCTCTCCCCCACCCCCATATCCAATCTGTTGCCAAGTCCTGTCATTTCCAACACTGCAACATCTCTTATTCCCCGGTGAAGGCTCTCCTCACCTCACCCCTGCACAGCCTCCTTGCTTCAAGTCTCCCCATTCCACTCCATCCCCCACTTAGCTATCAAAGTGCTGTTCCTAAAGTACAGTTATAACCATGTTCCCCCTTATTAAATAAATTCTAGTGGTTCCTTATTACTTCTAGGACCAAGTATAAAATTTTCTTCTATTTGACTTTTAAAGCCCTTCATAACCTGGCCTCTTCCTACCTTTCCAGTCTTCTTATATTTTACTCCCCTCCATGAACTCTGTGATCCAATGAACAGGCTTCCTTGCTATTTCTTGGACAAGATATTCTGTTTCCTGACTCCATGCATTTCCACCATCTATCCCCCATGACTGGAATTTTCTCCCTCCTTATCTCCATCTCCTGGCTTTCTTCAAATCTCAATTAAAAATACCACCTTCTACAGGAATGCTAATACCCTCCTTTTAAGGTGATAGCCAATTAATCCTCTATGCATTTTATTTGTATTCAGTGGTTTTCATGTTGTCTAACACATTAGATTGCAAGCTTCTTGAGGGCAGAGCCTGCTTTTGCCTCTCCTTATATCCCTAGTGTTTAGCACAGTGCCTGACACATAGCAGGTACTTAGTAAATGCTTGTTGAAGGGGCAGCTAGCTCTATCGGTGGATAGAGCACCAGCCCTGAAGTCAGGAGGACCTGAGTTCAAATTTGTCCTCAGACCAAACACTTGACACTTACTAGCTTTGTGACCCTGGGCAAGTCACTTAACCCCAGTTGTCTAAAAAAATAAAAATAAATGCTTATTGACTTGGCGTACAATCAGAAAATGGGGGTAGGAAGAGGACTATCTGTAGCTTCGTATTTTAACTGATTCTTTTCACTAATGAGGTGCTAAACTATGTTTTTTCTGTGCTGCTGATGAAAAGCAAGTGCTTTCAGCACCCTCTAAATTTGGCAAAGCCCCAGTCATGTCATCCTAATTACAACTGTGGCAGAAATCCATATGTGACAAGAGCCAATATAGAAGCATATTACTTCTGGTCAGGTAGTCAGAGCAAACTATGGAATTAATAGCCATTTATGTCTACTAGAGAATGTGGAAGTGGACTTAAGACAAAAATAACAAAGATGCCATTATATTAGCCTTTGAGAATACATCTGCTGCCTATTCTTCCAATTTTTTTTTTTAAATCTCATATTCCTGTGAGTTAGGCAGGGGAAGGCATTATTATCCTCTTTCGACAGATGGCTAACCTGAGGAACAGAGACACCGGAGTTAGTGGTAAATTTATTGTAGGTGCAGAATCTTTGATTTCCTAACTCCCAAACTCCTAGTCATTTCACTAATTAAATTGCCTCTCCGGCACAAGACTTTGAGTCCAGAGATTGTTCCATTTTTGTCTTTATATCTTTACTGCCTAGCATAATGCCTGGAAGTTAGTCAATAAACATTTATTCAGTGCCTACTATGTGCTAGGCACTGTTGTAAAGACTGGAGATACAAAGAAAGGTAAAAAGAACATGCCTGCCCTCAAGGAGCTTACAGTCTAATGAGGGAGACAACATGTAAACAAGCTATGTACAGGATAAATTGGAGGTAACCAAGAGAGGGAAACTACTAGAATTAAGAGGGAATCAGGAAAGGCTTCTTCTAGAAGGTGGGGTTTTTCTGGAAGGAAACCAGAGAAGCCAGGAAGCCAAGATAAGGAGGGAGGGCATTCCAGGTATGGAAAAACCACCAGTGAAAAATAACCAGATTCACGAGACTGAGTATTTTATTCAAGGAACAACAAGAAGGTCAGTTGTCACTGGATTGCAGAATATGTGGGATGCAAATTGTAAGAAGACTGAAAAAGTAGGGAGGTATCAGGTTATGAAGGGCTCTGAATGTCAAACAAAGGATTTTACATTTGATCCTGGAGGTAAAAGGGAGCCACTAGAGTTTATTGAATAGGAGGGTGACATGGTCAGATCTGTGCCACTTTGCCAGCTGAATGGAGGATGGCCTAGAGTAGGGAGATACTTGAGGCAGAGAGATGAACCAGAAGCCCATTGCAAAAGTGTGAGGTTGAGAAGGGCCTTTAACGAGGTGGTGAAAGTGTCAGAGGAGAGAAGGGGGTGCATATGAGAGATATTTTGAAGGTGCAAATGATAGGACTTAACCACTCATTAGATATGGGAAGTGAGAAAGAGACTAATCAAGATGATTCCTAGATTGTGTAACTGGGATGGTGGTACTCTCAACAGGAGTAGGGAAGTTATGAAGAACGTACATTCTTGGGGGAAAGGTAATGAGCTACATTTTGGACATATTGGCTTTAAGATGTCAATGGGACATTCAGTTTGAGATATATAATAAACAGCTAGAGACCAGAGATCAGGAGAGAGGTTAGGGCTGGATAAGTAAGTTTGAGAATCATCAGCATAGAGATGATAATTGAATTCATGGGAATTGATGAAATAGCCAAGTGAAATATAAAGGGGAAGAGAAGAGGACCCTGGACAGAGCTCTGTAGAACATCTATGATTACTGAGTGTATAGAGAATACTTAATAAATACTTGTTGATGAATCAGTTGATTGTATATTTTCATTATTCTAACCTTTTATCTACATCCTAAAATAATTTCAGGATTAGTTTCCCATTCAATTAGGACCAGCCTGAATTGTAACCTGAGTAGGGAACTACTACTGTGATTTCATGACTTCCAAGAAGTTACCACTGTGCTTTACTCCTCCCTCTTTCTCCAGAAAATCTCTCTTCCATCCAATGGCTAATTTCTATCATTCTAAGCTTCACTCCTTCATTCTTTTAATGTAAGGTTTTGATCCCTATTAAAACAAATGTATGTTGGGGAGGGGAGGCAAAAATATACTAAACTTTCTCAGTCACATACATCTCTGCTTGAATGAATTTTGGAATCCTTCCTCCAAATGGATTTTGATAAGAAAGCAAACTGAACGAAGTACCTGAGGGAGAATGGGCAAGAGGTGGCCAGGAAAAAAAGGAGCATAGAACCGCAAGTTTGGGGATCATCAGAGACAAACTTCACCTACTTTTGGCAAACAAAGAGGTCAGCATTGTTTGTTCTCCTAAAGACACCATTATAATCTCCTTTGTCAAGGAGTAGGCAAGTTCCAGAGATATCTATCAATGCCTCCTGTGAGCGGCATTTAGACAATCTATATGTATATATACATAGCCTACAGGGCACACATATGCACCCTATGAGGGGCATGAAAAATGGCTGTGAAAACCAGAAATCTAGTTGGCATGGAGTTGAGGAAACACTCCAATAGGGCAGGGTATGCCACGGAGCTGACTGGAAGAAGATCAATGAGGAAAAGGTCAGCAAACAATTTAAAGGAGTTTTGAACAGAGCTATCACTAGCATAGAACAGGCTTTGCCCCAAGGTACTAACACCCAGTTATGTGTGTATTGCCTACCTGTTGATAGTAGACTATTGTCTCCATACCTTGCCTCCTGGTCCTCCACATGTACAATGTGCCAGTGCCCTTGGGAGCCAGCCCCAGGATCTCATGAGCAGAGGAACCTCTTTCCCTAGTCTCATCCCAATCCTCTCCTATCCTTTGGACTTTTTTTGTGCCCTCACATCATCACTAACCTCTCCCTCCCATAGGGGAATTTTCCCCAGGAGCAATTTTGGCTAGGTATAGCTCTGGTTATAAAACACAAATATATCTCCTGGGAATAGGAATATTTGAAACAATGAAAAGTTTAGAGTTCTGCTAAAAAGAAGAAAACCAGGCATTTTGGAGAAAGAGAGAGCTTGCAACTGTCTGTAAGGACAATTATTGTTGAGAAAGGTGTGTCAGAGTTGTTATGAGCCCAACTAAACCGGGCAACAGAGATTGACTTATCACCTACCTATAAAGAACTGATGGCCATATCCAGCAAATTCCTCTCCATCTAGGTCATGATGAACGAACAGTCCGCAGCAAAAAGTGGGGTGGAGGGGAAAGGATTGTGGTTACTTTCTTCACTGAAGTTAATTCCCACATTTACAGACTACTTCATTTTAACAGGTAGGGGCAGCACAACTGATGTAATGATGAGCCTGTACATGGAAGCCCCCTTGGCAATGCCCTAAATACTTTGGATTTCATTACTCCGCTAAAGCACAGACGTTTCTGAAGTGTCAAGCACAAACTTAAATGTTGGATCTCTTCATGAGCTAAGGTATCACAATTTATCGTCCTTAATGTATTCAAGAATCAAAATGCCTTATAAAAGACTTATAAAAAACAGTGGAAAAGGTCACAATTAAAATATGCAAAGTCTGTGTGCATTTTTTCATGCTTAACCTAACAGCATGGCAACTGAAAATAGAAATTAAATTTTTTATAAGATTTTTTTTCCACCCTTCACATGAGAATTGAGTCTTCTTTTTTTTTCTTTTTCTTTTTCTTTCTTTCTTTTTTTTTTTTTGGTGAGGCAATTGGGGTTAAGTGACTTGCCTAGGGTCATACAGTTAGTGAGTGTCATGTGTCTGAGACTGGATTTGAACTCAGGTCCTTCTGACTCCAAGGCCAGAGCTCTATCCACTGCATCACCTAGCTGCCCCCAGAAATTAAATTTTTAGGTGGTACTAAATTTGGGCTTTTAAGCTTTGATGGGTGTGAGTCCTTTAGTATAGCAATACATTATTTAGGTTTGTTTGACTTTAACTCATTGTGAAGAAATAAAAATCAAGTCGGACTACTTTGTGATCCCTAATTATTTCTCGTTGTCCTAAGCTGATAAAAGATACAGACCTTTATTTCAGATATGGGGATAAAGAAAACTGCTCAGAATTGTGTATCTCTACTTTATACTGTAAGCTGGAGTCACACTTTGTACTGTAAATACTTCAGTTTGGCGCCTCCGAGAAACATCTATACTAAAAATGTAAGGAAGATATAGTTTTCAAATTAATTTCCTCCTGTCTTCCTCTTCGTGCACGCACAGAACCATAACTAAGGACAGGGTTTTGCCTTCTGAGTCCCAACCTTGGGGGAGGGGCAAAAGGAATGGCAGCCAAAATCACTGTCCCCGAATTTTGACATTGTCTCTAGCGCCCTCTCCTGGGGCTTAACTTTCTCTTAACCTTGGCAAGGAACTAGACTCAGGAAACAGGTGCCAGGCCCCTTTCAGTTCCACCCTGCACTCCCTAGGTCAGATAGCTCTCTGTGACCCCCCCCCCCCCCCAATGTCTCTACTCTTCCCCTCCCCCACCAGTGAAAAAGTGGTTTTGCTCCAAGTGAAAAAATTCCTAGTTACAGCTTTGTGCATATAGATTTATTTGTGGTACTATAAACTGGAATAGAGAGCCTATTCCTATATAAAGTATTAGTAAACACAACCTCTTAAAATTAATCTTTGTTTTAAAAATTTTCAAATGTAAAAACAAAGCACAAATATCTTCATTTCTTATCTAATGATCAAATACATGTTTCTAAATGAAGCAATCAAGTAAGAAAAAAAAAACAAGGGGAAATATCTGCTAGGGATATAGCCATATGTATTTAGGGGATGTATCACTATATGAAATGTATTTCATTATTCAGCTGGTTTTTATCCTTTTAAAATATATTCTTCATAATTTGATATTTACTTATCTAATTTCTTTTTAAAAATCTAAAATGAGTTACCCAGTCAAGTACTGACTCTGTGGTACTGACATTCATTAAGCCTGCTTCTCTTTTGCTTGTACAGGAAATAAAATTAAGTTACCTTCTGAGAGCTCCTCTGGGCATTCAGATAAAAGCAGAAACAGACATTAAAAATTAAAATCTGAAGCAATGATGTCAAAGGCCAAAGGAATGCCCAAACATTTGACATTTCTCTTTTGGCCTCAAATTTTGGCTTAATGTAAAATATTGCATCAGTAAGAGAAACTGCACACAGGTGAAAAACATAAACAATTAAAACTAAGTATAAGGATTTAAATAGCCTGAGTACATTATTAAATGAACACAGGAAATTTAGAAATAGCATGTCATTCATTTAGGTAAGGTTCACTTCTGTAAATTCACCACTCGCTACTATATAATTGGGACAATTAATCGTTTATTACATCATCTTCCTAGAAACGCACTTAAATGATATCAAAATTTAGGATAGACGTGAATAAAATTAGAGGCAAATTGTTTACTTTTTTACTTACCAGATTCAAATGTTTCTTCATCTTTGATGTTCAATGGTAGAAGAGAAAAAAAAATGCACGTATATATCATTGCAAGATTTCTCGTGCTCAGATTGTATTATCATAAACACATCAACTAATTATTCTTCCTTGACACAATGCTTATTCCCTTCCCCTATTCTACTATAATCATTTCATGTTTTTTCCCCTTTCTGAGCACCTTCAGCTCTATGTCTTCTTTATGACATATCTTGTATAAGAATCATGGCATTTAATAGTTGGGCCAGGAGAAAAAGGGTAGAGGGATCAAAAAAGGCTTAGCTAGATAGCAGTTCATCTAAAAAAGATCTAGACTGTAAACTTCATGTGTGTTAGTGGTGCAATGTATCAGCCAAAAAGATTGAGGCAGTCTTGGGCTATGTTAAGAGAAGTTGTACACTAAGGTTAAATGAGTACTGTGTTCAGTTCTGAGCATTATGTTTGAGAAAGGATATTGATGGAGAGTATACAGAAGAAGGTGGGCAGGGTGTCATCTACGGATAAGTTGAAGGAACTAGGGAAATTTAGTCTGGAGGAGGGACAATTTGGCCCAGAAGGCATGATAACCATTTGAAGGGCTGTCATATAGAATCAGGATTGGCCTCTGAAAACAAAATTAGGAACAACAGGTGGTGGAGGTGGGTCTAGGCATGATGTAAGGAACAACTTCCTAGTAATTAAAGTTATCTCAAATGGTACGGATTGCTTCCGGTGGTAGTGGTTCCCCTTTCCTGGATGTCTTCAGGTGAAGGCTGGATGACTGGCCGTTGGGAACATTGCAGGGAAGATTCTGGTTGGGTTCCAGATTGGACTAGAGGGACAGTGGTCCATTGTAAATCCGAGACTTTGTGATCCTTCGTAATGGACGTAAGCTCACTCGCCTTGGGCGTTTGCTGACCAAGTTTAATGTATGGGGGGTTGCCTGATAAAGTTTAATGTATAAAAGCAAAGGAAAGTAGAAGGGAATGAGGAAAGTAGGGAGGGATCCTAGGGTTGGGGAATAGGAGTGAAGGTTAGGAGAAGGAAGTTTGGGTCCCATGGATCTTGCTTTGATTGGGCAAGGACAGATGGATGAGGTATGACAGTTCAGGTACAGCACCTTTGACTTGTGCTAAGTTAATTCTCATAAATGGTTTTGAGAAACCAAGAAGTATGTTCAGCAACATAAATATAGTGCTTTTTAAGCAGGATAATACAATTTATAATACATTCCATTTATAAGTGAACTATTAGAATTGTCTACATATCTAAGGAGTTTTGTGATGGCAATTGTTTTATTGTAGTGAACAACATCCTAATGACAGCTACATAATTACATCCTAATAAGAGTTTCATAATTAAATCAAAGCTAGAGTAATTGAGAGGGCCAAAATGCCTTTACCCAATTGTGTGTGTGTGTGTGTGTGTGTGTGTGTGTGTGTGTGCGTTTTCCTGAAATCTTTTCTAGGTAGTTCTTAGACCTTCTGTGTTATGCAGATGAGAGTTGTTAGCACACACATCACAGTTCACATATCAGAGCCTTAAAAAAAAAATCCCAAATGTTAGAACTATACAATAATTTCCTAGAGAGAAGTCCTTACACAATAACGGGATCAGTTTTCATTGCCCTAATATTGATTTCTTTGGCTTTTAAGCAGGAAGGAACTAGGCGAATGGAATTAAAGGTGTGGACGGAGATTTGGACAAACCAGTTCCTCTTTTTGTGACAAGGTCAGACCTAATTGCTGGGGACGGAGGGAGGAAGAAAGGGAAGGAAGGTGAGAAGAAGGAAGGAAGGAATGGAGGGAGGGAAAGAGAAAGGGAAGATAGAAGGGAGGGAAGGAGGAAGGAGAACAGAGGGATGAGAAGGGAAGGAGGATGAAAGGAAGGAGGAAGGGAAGGAGGAAGGAAAAGAGGGAGAGAGGGAAAAGAGAGAGAAAAAGAGGAAAGGAGGGAAGAAGGGAGGGAGGATGGAAAGGGAGAGAGGGAGGAAGGAAAGAAGTACTTATATGACATTTATTATTTCCCAGGCACTGTGCTCAGAACCTTACAAATATTATTTCATTTGGTCTTCACAACAACGTTGTGACATAGGTGCTATTATTATCCCCATTTTTTATAATTGAGTAACTGAGGCAGACAGAAGTTAATGACTGTCCAGGGTCACCCAGCTAGTAAGTATCAGTGTTCACATTTGAACTCAGGTCTTCCTGATCCCTGTACGTAATGTCCTCAGTCTTGATGCAGTTTTAAGTTTTAATAGTTACTAAAGCTTACAACTGCACTAAGACTTATGGGACATGCTGTATGGTATCTGTTCTAAACTTTCAAAGTTTTATTTTATTTCCCTTACCTGCTAGTGAAAATCTTTTGTGAGAAATTTAATTTCTATCTCTGGGGACATAAGGAGAAAAAAGGAGTTGTCTACATCTAAGCCAGGATGATCTGGAGATACTGGGATTACTGAAGGCCAGGCAGGATAGTGGTACAGAGACAGAAGGGCACATGTCAGTCCAACAGCTCTGGAGGGTGGCCTACATTATAACTGAGAGTCCAGCAGAACTTGAGTGTGGGTATGGCTGCAAGAGCTGGGAACCTTCCTCCCTCAAGCCCTACAAGAAATGGGTATGGACTCTTCTGGATACTCTGGAGATGAGGTCTTACCTTATAATTACATAACTAGGAGTAGATCTCCTTACCTTCTTCCACACACTTCTCATCAATCTTTATGTCATCCTCTATAAATGAGCATAAAAAGAAAGTCACTTAGAAATTGCAAGCACTGAAATAAAACCCATCACCAAAGGATCTTAGAGGTCACTGAGTCCTACCCCTTCATTTTACAGATAAGAAAACTGAGACTGAGGGTAAGTGACTTGCCCGGTGTCATATAGCTAATAAGTGTCTGAGGCAGGATTTGAACTCAGATCTTACTACACTCTGCTACTTCTGGATTTTACCTGGACCATGCAAAACTAACCCTCCCTAAAACTCAGATTATAGCAACTTTATTTTCAATACTTCAGGCTTCTTGAAGAGGAAAATAAAATCACCCTACTGTATCATCTGCAACTTACAATATTAGGCAGTTACCTGGCACAACAGGAGATTAAGTGACTTAATGCTTCAGAGGCAGATTTGAATTCGGGTCTTCCTCAGCGCCATAACTAGCAATTGCTGTGCCAAAGGCAAGGGCACAAAACTCATCCAGGACCAAGATATTTGAAATGTACTCTAATTAAGCTTGGCATGGGTGGCAGCATAGACCCTGGGATACTGTGAGGCCACGTCAGGGTAGAAGTGATGGAGAACAAGATGACTCTTGGCTATGGAAGGCTTCTGCTGGTGGGTGTGGCTGCCACCTGGCTTTTGAGTTAAACTAATTACTATTGCTCTGAGCTTCTAAGCCCAGTTGCTTTCTGTATTGCTAAAGGATTAAAAGTGCTATTGACCCCATCTAAATTTTAACTTCTAAAGCAAAGTCTCAGTTGCCCAGCTGTAGTGACTGGTTTTCCTGACTCCAAAGCTAGCCTCTTTCCACTCTACCATATGGCCTCTCATTAGTGTCACTTTAATGTCAAAGGGTTTAATTTACTTATGTAATATTATTAATTATTAATAATTATTATAAACACTTATTAATATTTATTAATAGCTTGATTATCATTAATTTACAAAGCTTAAGTTTATATAATAATATTTGGAGTGTTTATAAAACAAAGTTCTGTAAAACATTAATTACTTGCTCTAAGCCCCACATGCAGCCTTGTTCCATGAAGATAGAGTAAAAATAAATGCTGAAGTTGAAATTATCATGACAATAATTGAACCTTTATGTTTCTTTAGAGAAAGGCTTCTTAATCTTCTTTGTGCCCTGGACCCCTTCCGCAGTCTAGTGAAGCCTATAGACCCCTTCTCAGAATAATGTCTTTTTGTATATTAAACATTTATTAATTAGAATGATGTCTCTAAATGCATAAACTAAAATACATATTTCCAAATGAAACCAATTATGTTTAAGTGCAGTTATTGAAATTTTTTAAAGTTTGTGGACATCAGGGTAAGAGCCCCTAATTTAGAAAACCTCATATTCACAGTTTCACAATATTATTGATTTTATCAGCTCTTACAATAGCCTCAGAAGTAGGAAAACACCCGCCTTTAGCCCCATTTTACCACTAAAGAGACCAAGGCACAAAATGGTGAAATGCTGCTTACCCTGGGCTGAGTTAATGACACAAAGGCATCAAGAACCCAAGACCCACCCAGGGTGTTATCCAGTCACAGATCTGAGGCTCTTGTTTCAGAGTTCTAATGAGAAATTACCACTTTCTGCACACATTTTGTGTACGATGACTGATTCTACCATTCACACATTAAGGGTTGCTCAGTCTGGTTCCTAGCCACCCACAGGGTGGGGAGTCCAGCTTTCATCATGCCCAGTCCCCATCCCAGCCTACCAATAGAGGATGGCAATGCCCTTTCCAATAGCATATGCTCTGCAACTAGTAGAATATAAGTTCATTGAGGGCAGGTATAGTTTTTAAACTCGAACTTTCAAGTAATGGAATAATTAGTGAACTTTTGCTTCTCAGTATTGATTTCTCTAAGCCCTATGAGTTTTATGACTTGTGGATGAGTTGGCCAAGTAGAAAAGAAGAATGTCAAGGGCTGAAAAAATTCCTCTTTTTCAGCTGATGCTTAGTGCCTTTATTTCCCCTACTTTTGGGTTAATTAACTCTGACCTGTTAACTTCACAGATGTCTTTTTATGACTTAAAACCAGTGACTCATTTAGTCAGGAGCAGAGATTTAAGAGGATAGTGGGCATTCAGTAAACAAATGCTCAATTCAATCAGTTGTAAGAGTCCTTTTGGCAAGACAGACTGTTCCTTGCCAAGGGGCCCAAGTCTCCAAATATTGTGGGAGTTGTATTTCTTCCTGGCTCAGGAAGATGAGGAGCTAAGAGCATGGCTAGAAGGTAGAGTTTTCATCTACAGCAGGACTAAAAAGAGAGACCATGAAAGAGGAAGAAAGAAAATACATTTCCAAGGTCTCTAGCAATTTTTGACCTCTCGATAAGACAGTCAGTCCAAGCCTTGCCAGAAGGACTGTTACACAATCAATAAATATTTATGAAGTACCTACTATATGCCACGCCCAGTGCTAGGAAGACCAAAATGAAATCGTTCCTGCTCTCAAGGGGCTGACATTCTATGAATTGACTTGAATGGAATTGAATGAAGAAAACATCAGTATTTCAAGGAGATTTTGGGTTTCTGGCAGGTACTATTTCTTACCTTCTTCCACAGCACTCACTGGCCACAAATTATTGAAGCAGGTAATTAAAAAAAATAAAAATAAGTAAGTGAAAAGAAACAAGATATCCAATATCACAATTGCATTAGACTCCTAAAATAAAGAAATTATAGTAGTTACTGTTTGTATAACACTTCAAGGTTTGCAGAGTGCTTTACAAACATCTAATTTTACCTTTACAAAAACCCTGGGAGGTATGTGCTGTTGCTATCCCCATTTTCATAGTTGGGGAAACAGAGGTAGATAGTAGTTAAGTGACTTGGCTAGGGTCTCACAGATAGTAAGTGTCTGAGGCTTGATTTGAACTCAGGTCTTCCTGACTCCAGATGTAGTGTTTTAGCCACTGTACCACCTGGCCCAAAAGGACCCAAAGAAATTAATTTCTGAGAGGTTGACGGAGCAGTTATTAGGGACAGAGAAGGGGAGAGAAAGGAAAGACTTTCCAATAACCCTTAAACTCCTATGTAGAGAACCATATACTTCTTCTATGGCTAAGGTCAGTCCCAAGAAAGGGTAAGATTGTTTCTCTTAAAAGGCACATTGATGATTCTGCTTCTTGTTAGTATCAGAGAAGAGAACTCCACACTTACATGTGGTTGATTTGAGGCAGGAGTGAGGCTGGAAGGGTTGAGACCACCAGAATTCCCGCTGCTTCCTATGCAAAAAGAAATTCATCCCTGAGAGAACCAAACTGACTCCATTTTGTATCATTGCCGACATTTTTTATTGCTGCTTGAGTTAATGTTTGTTTTCCTGAATTAAACTTTCATTTTCCTGTAAATCATTGCATTTCAAGGTAATTATCCATCACTGTACCACCAACTGTTTTGCAGGAAGCAGGTGGATGCAACCAATCAGAATTCCCTACACTCTGGAAAGTCCCTAAATCTAAAAATAGTAAGTGTGCTTTTATCATAAAAATCCTCATGACTCTTCAGGGTTCTTAGCCTGCTGAGGGGCTTTGAACCCGATTTCTTTGCAAATTGCCTGCCTTTGATAATAAATCGAAGAAGCTTGGACTTTGCCTTCTCAAGCATTCTATTTTACTCGCTACATCATGAAGAGGAGTTCAATTGAAACATCTTATTTATGACGAAGGATATGGATGATTTCATACTATATGAAAATTAATTGACTATTTCATCTTACAGATTCTTTTTCCAATGATATAAAAATGTCATTTGGACTCAGAGTAAAATTTTCAATGTACATCAAGGTAAGATGGAGACTTGAAGTCTTCAGTTTTGACTCTGAATGTCACATTGAACCAAAGGAAGAAGGCCGTACCTACAAATGTGTTAGTCTATTTCTGATAAGACATAACAGTCATAAAGGTATCGAGGAAAAGGGTATGGCTGAACGGATTAAGAAGATTACTGGCATTCTGAAATTAGAGACGAGTGGGAGAATATATTTAAAGCAATCATCACCTATGCAACACCAGTCTTCATGTAAACTTTTGATATTGTGTGATGAGCTGTAACAGATTTGGGAAAGTACCTTAGATAGAAATAACAACCACAAAAACAACCTGGACAATGCTACCAAAACAGAGCTCCAAGATAGCTCTAATTCAGACCAGTGTTTCTATGACGTTGCTTCTTTCTTCCCACTCACAACACGGAGGGGCTTAAGCCCTTCTTCCTTCCCTAATCCTTATTGACTTGGCTTCCCTAAAAGGAGACAAAGCTGTCCTTAGGATCTGATTCACCCCAGCTTCCCTGACATAGCTTCTTGGTCACCTAAAGAGTTGGTGGGCTTCTGAAGACCGTGTGAGTTATCATAAGCGACCTGAAAGATCCTCTGCATTTCCATGCATCTGGAGATGATGAGAGCCTCTTAGAGAAGCTAAAGGCCGCTGCCTCCTTGCTGTATCAGGGTAAATATTTTAATCAATGAAAGGAGAGCCTCATTTCCTCTCAAATAAGAGAGTGCTAGCGTCAGAGCTTCCTCCAACAGAAAGATGAACGCTTTAGTGGCAATAGAGAAGAAGAAGAGTGGTAGACATTCTTAGACCACATAACAAATTGGTCAGAAAGCTGGAGAAATACGTTTGAAATAAACAGATATCATTTCACGCAACAAATAATAAGGGCGGGCAACAGCTGCAAACCAATGGATTTGTTGAATGTAACTGAAAGCTGATTACCTCCAGAGAGAACCTATGAAGTGACTATGACCCCAAAGTGGAATCTGAGTAACTAACATTCAAATAAATTTGACCCAGAGTTTTCAACAAAGGAGCATCAAACAAATGGCTGAGCTACATGAATTTGTTTGTGGATATGTGTGTATGTATATATATATGTATGTATACACACACACACACACATACACATATACACATATATATATGAAAACTATTTGGTATTAGTTAAAATATAGGAAAGTAGATCAGTGGGATAGACCAGCTAAAGCAAGAATCAAAAATAAATTAATTCAATAAACCACAGCTTGATGAACCTAAGAATATAATCTATTTGAGGATGAGCTCCATGTTTGACAAGAACAACCAGGAACATTAGAAAAAGAGTTTGTTAGAAATTAGGTTTAGACCATTACACTCCACATCTACTGCTGTTGATTTTCCGGGACACCAGTCTTGCCACCTCCACCCTCTTCCATACAGGCCTTCTTGTCTTCTCAGACACCTGTTAATGGCCAAAGCGACCTCTATAGCTTTTGGCTTATGGGGATTAACTGCACAGGTGGGGGATTAATAACCCAGCAACTGGAACAGCAACCAAGCAAACCAGCTGTTATGTGAAAACTTGTTTTTTTTTTAAAAATCCCAACAACCTTAAATGCCAGCCCTTATAGAAGAAATCAAGACACAGTCCTGAATGACAGGAAGTGAGGAGAGGGACCTGAAAAAACAGAAACAATAACAGGAACAGACAATTGAAAAACATGGGCAAACTTGTCATAGGTCTCAGATGTGTGCCTGGTGCATTGTATGTCTTGGCCTTGAAGCTGAAACTGAACATGAAGGAAGAGGAATACATATCTTAAATTCACATACATGTTTTCCTTCCCCTGTCGTAAGATGTTTGTCCAGCTAGGGCACAGGACTTGAAGTCTGGAGGGTCTGAGTTCTAATCATGACAGAGACCCTCAATAGCTGTGTGATCTTAGGCAATCATTTAACCTCTCTGCCTCAGTTTCTTCATCTAAAAATGAGGGAGTTGGATTTGATGGCCTCTAAGGTCTGCTGTACCTCTAAATTTATCAAAGCTATGATTCCTTAAACCCCAGTTCTTTCCACCAGCAAAACAACACCATGTCATCTGACACACAATAAGTTTAAATTTAATGTGTTCTGTGCTAAAAAGATCTGAAATTTAGTTAGTTTGCTATCCTCAATATTGCATGAAAAGGCTCTTCAAGTCAAAAAATAATGTATTTTTTTCGTCTTCTTTTCCTTTTAATGCAAAGAATCCCCAAAATGAGCCAGAGTTATTATTGAGATGCCCCCAAGACTGCACAAGGCCAGAGGCTCAGGAATGGCTATTCATTACGTAAGGATTTGTCCCATCTTTCTGTTTGTCTCGTGCCTCATGCTCTAATACTATAAACCTATAATCACCTTCATGTCAAATAATCTCTAAGAATACGAACAGCGCTGCCATTTCTGTTGAGTCAGAGACAAAACAAAATCAAAAAACCTCTTCCATACAAAATGCTTCTTGGCATTAAAATGTTTTTGTTTTGTTTTGTTAAAGGAGAAAAAGATAGGCAGTTCATTTAAACCAGCACAGAATTTGTTGTGTGCCCTTTCATCTCGTCCTTCATTTGTCATTTATTTATTCATTAATTAACAGCCATTTAATATTAACCCTTTCTCATACTTGATAATAGATGTGATACTTGGGTCCAAATTTATAAGCAGCTGTTTATCCACTTACCTCTGACTATAGAATAGTCAAGATTTATGACCTATGTGTCTACTTGGAAGGGGGTGGTTGTAGAAAGGAAGTGAGCTAATTAAATGTTTTTTTGTGGGGGGGGAGAGGGGAGGAAGGAAATAAGCATTTACATAGTGCCTATCATAGGCCAGGCACTAAGCTAAGTTTTTTACAAATATTATCTCATCTGATCCTCATAACAGCCCTGGGAAATAGGTGCTATTATTATCCCCATTTTTATAGATGAAGAAACTCAGGCAGATAGAGGTTAAGTGTCTTGTCCAGGATTACACAGCTAATTAGTGTCTGAAGTGGGATTTGACTCATCTTTTCCTGATTCCAAATCTTGTGCTTGGCATCACTTAGCTGCTCCATGACTACTGATTAGTATGCCCATTGATTGTGTGTGACTATAGGCAAGTCACTTAATGTCTCTGAGCTTGTTTATTCATCTATCAAATGGCAGTATTTATTTATCTGTCCTATTCCTTCACAGGCTTGTGGTGACAATCCTTGAGATCTGTCCTCTATCCTCTTCTCTCCTCCCCTCTCTTCCCCTCCCCTCTCTTCCCCTCTCCTCTCCTCTCCTCTCCTCTCCTCCCTTCTCTTCTCTTCTCTTCTCTTCTCTTCTCTTCTCTTCTCTTCTCTTCTCTTCTCTTCTCTTCTCTTCTCTTCTCTTCTCTTCTCTTCTTCTTCTTCCTCTCTCCCTTTCTCTCCTCTCCTCTCCTCTCTTTTCCTCCCCTCTTCTTTTCTTCTCATTCTCTTTCCCTCTACCATCTTAAATACAAAAGAAGCCTAGGCAAAACTCTGTCTTGCTGGTGGTTAGAGTCTAAAAGTAAGGCTGGTGCCTTCCCTCCCTCACTTAAATCCAATTCACTTGCATGTCATGGCATCACCTCCCTGATGTGGTAGTCCTCTTGGATAACAAAGGACAAACAACTCCCTTACCTCTTCAGAAGGTGATTAGAAGGGATAAGACCAGCACAGGCACCAAAGTCAGAGACCTTCCTGGCCTGCCACCAGAGGGAGTCATTCCGATCCACAATCTGGAGAATCTCCCCTTTTCGGAATGGCAAACCAGCATCTGCACAAGGGATAATGGGATCCTCCCAGGGACAGTACTTGGCCATAGTTCGAACGTAAACCTGATGAAAAGCATGCAATTACACCATCAGAACAACCTTTACGTACAAGTATAAACCAATTCTTCTAGGCCTCTATTCACCTCTTCATACTCGTTTTCTTCATCCTCTCTGCCCACCTTTACACCTATTTCCATAAAAGGGGTCACTGATTATAAATTAAACTTGTAAGATGTAAGGAGGGGGAAATCTCTGACCTCCTCCCAAGAGGGTGGGCAGGAAGTCATACAGCTGTGAAAGCAAACCCCTTCCTCCCCTTCCCTTCACACCCTTCTCTTAAGTACACACCCCTTTTTTTTCTAGATCTTTAAGAAAAGCATCAAGCTCTATTAAGATTTCACTTGATTCAAGTCTTGAAATTAGGATGAATAATGAGATTCTTCCTTCTTCTTCCTATTAAAAACTCTTGAGAGACCCACACTACAGCTATTTGAGTACCATCCTTTAGGCTAAGTCTATAGTTGTGGTTATAGTGGGACTACCAATAATCCCTTAGAAGCAGTACGGGGCTAGAAAGTCCTCCTTTCACTGTTCTTGTTAGGGTAGAATCCAAACTCTCTAATACCATTATAAACTCAAAGAGGGCTTCTCACAGAAGGTTTATATCTCCACAATCCCTAATTCAATTCTAAATCAGGATGATGGCTATTAATGTGGTTATTAATAATAATTACTAATAACAGCCATAATATTGGTGATTATATTTTTTGATACACAAACTGTGTACCAACATTCTGAAACATGAAGATTACTATCTCCAGTAACCCCATCCTTAATACAATTGTCCCAGTGTCCAATGCCATTATTTAGGAGATGTTTTACTCAGCCAAATTGCACATTTCTCTCATACCTTTTCTTGATGAATTCTTCCTTCTATTGCTTATGTTTCCTCATTTTGCCTCTGATATCATGAGTCTCTGAGTAAGAAATATGCCATATTCCACTGAAAAGGCATTTATTAAGTACCTACCACATGCTAAGCACTGCACTAGGTATTGGGGCTACAAAGACCAAAAAGAAACAATCCCTGTACCCAATAAGTTAAGGACACTAGCATTGGACACCATGTTTGACAACTTTTACTGTGGCATATCTAACCTGAAGAAATGATTCATTGAAGTCTTACCGTTGTCTGGTTATTAATAGGGCGATCAGAAACTGGGACCACCTTGAACATGATTGTGCCATGGGACATAGCCTAGAAAATTTCAAGAAGAGAAATTATAATAGACTTGTCATCAGTTGGTTTCAGGTCAATAAAAGTGAGCTTTCCCCTGGCTTGGCAACATCCCCTACATCATTGGTCTGGGGTTTTTGTCCATAAGGACCAAACTAAGATCTCAGTCTTCTTCACCCATTGGTTAATGTCCCAAGGTCCATGGTCTCTCTTCATATCTGCCACAACAGTTTTAGACCCCTCTCCAAATAAATGTTTTTACTTTGTCCAACTCTGTAAAATATACCCTTAGTGGTTTGGCGTAGTATGAAATGTATAAATTAATTTAAATAGTATTGTCATTTTTATGATATGAATATGGCTCAGCCATAAATACCAGTTATTTAAGTTGTTCCTAAATTTTTAAGGAGCATTTTGTCTTTTTGTAATTCTATTTATCTATATGGGTATTATCTATGTAATTCCACCCATGTAGGTATTGAGTGTGCTTTTTAGACTGATTCTCAGATATTTTATGTATTTATGGTTATTTCAAATGGGACTTTCCTTTCTATTATTACCGTCTGGATTTTGTTATCGCTAAACAGAAATGCTGTTGCTTTTTGTGGGTTTTTGTATACTGTTATTCTTTTGAAGTTACTAATTATTTCAGTTAGTTTTTTTGCTGATTCCCTAGAATTTTCTAAGTAAACCACCAGTTCATTAGCAAATAGGAGCAGTTTTGACTCTGCTTTGCCTTTCTTTATGACTTCAATTTCTTTCTCTTGTCTACTTGCCATTGCTAGCAAAAAAACAGCAGGGAAAGGGAGTATACTTCCTTTACTTTGTATTTACTGAGAAAGCTTCTAATAGTGTTTCCCCATTGCATTTAAGGTTTGCTTTTGGATTTAGAGATAATATGGATTATGTTAAGAAAACGTCCCATGCCTGTGCTTCATAGGATTTTAAACATAAATGATTGCTACATTTTGCCAGAGGTTTTACCTACATATATTGATAGGATAATAAGTTTGGGGTTGTTTTTATTTTCAGTATGTTAGTTATGTTAGTTGTTTTCCTAACCATGCTCGTAACTCTAGTATAAATCCAACTTGATAACAAATTAATTATTGAACAAATTTTTGTAGTGTTTTTGGTCAGGATTTTAATAAAATTTTTTGAATCAATATTCATCATGGTATTGATTTATAGATTTATAAAGGACATAAAGGACAGAACTTGGAGTCAGGAGAACTGGAGTTTAAAGCATCAGATATTTACTAGTTGGGAGTTCCTGCCCAAATCACTTATTCTCTTTCATCCACAATTTTCACATCTGTAAAATATTGATAATAATAGCATTTGCGTCACAGGACTGTTGTAAATGAGACAAAATGTGTAAAGTGTCTTGCATACCTGAAAGCCTTAAATAAATATTAGTTATAATTCTTATTAATGATTTTTTATTATTTTTCCTTATTTTATTTTTCCCTGCTTTATGTATTAATACTATATTTATCTCACAAAAGGAGTTTGGTGGAATATTTTTTTCTCAATTTTTGAGAATAATTTGTGCAATATTATTTTTTAAAAGTTTGAGAGAATTCTCCTATCTGGGCCAGAGGCTTTTTCTTGGTAGTTCCTTCATGGCTAGTTCAATTTCTTTTTCTGAAATGGATTAAAATCTTTATTTAGTGTTCTGTATTTGGGTATTTTATATTTTGCGGATAATCCTTTCCTTTAAATTCTCAGTGTGGCTGGCATATAACTGCATATAGTAGTTTTTAATAATTCTGTTTATTTCTTCCATGTTCTGAACATTTTTTATTACAATGATTTTCCTTCTTTTTAGTCAGATTGGCTTATAGATTTATCATTTAAAAAATCTTTTCAAAGAACTAACTTTTAGTTTTAGTTTTAGTTTTCAATCTGTAGTCATTTATTTTCCAACTTACTATACCTCTTCTGACATTTAAATTTTCGTCTTTTGTGTTTATTTTGGATTTGTTTATTTGTGGGTTTTCTAACTTTTAAATTGCACATTTAATTAATTCTCTCTTTTTCTATTGTTTCTATATGTTCTTAATATATATGACATAATTTTCCTCTGAGAATTGTTTTATTTGCATCCCAGAAATTTTGGTGTAGAATTTCATAATTATATTGTCTTTTACATAGTTATTGTTTCTATTACTTGACTTTTGACCTATTAATTGTCCAGGATTGTTGTTTCCATTCCATTTCCATTTTTCTTGCGCTCCCTATGTTGATTGCTATTTTCATGGTGTTTTTGTGTATACTAGTTTTATTGTGTCCCTCCTCTGACACATAAAGGCTGTGTGATAGTGTGCAAATCATTTAATCTCTCAGTGCCCTAGGCAACTCTATAGCACACAAGTCACCATTATATTTTATTTCATATAACATGTCACTCTCAGCATTGTATGTAGACAGCATTTTCAAGTTTGCAGAGTTTTACATGTATTATCTCATTTAATCCTCACAACAACCCTGGGAGACAGGTGCTATCATTATCCCAATTTTACAGATAAGGAAACTGAGGCAGATAGAGATTTTTTTTTTTAAATATTAGACACATTAAACTTGAGGTCACAACACTCAGTGTGCACATCTGAGTCAGATTAAAAGACAATTGGGAAATATTTAAAATAAATAAAATACAGTAAAACATGGGTAACATTACATTTTAAAACTAAGTCAATGTGCAGCCCTCAAATACACTTATGTAGGGTCCTCTTTTCTATTTGAGTTTGCCACTATTGGTTTAAGCGAGTTACCCATGGTCACATAGCTAGTAAATGTCTGAAGTTAAATTTGGACTCAGGTTTTCCTGACTCCAGTCCAGTTCTGTCTCCACTGCACCCCCTAGCTAAATTATCAGAAAAAAAAAGAAGAGAAAGAAGAGAAAGCAGACTGATACCAGGATATGGATCACTTGCTCTGGTTCAAGACCCTCTACCGAAATGCCGTTCACTTCCACCAATTTATCTCCAGCATAGAGCAGCCCTAGACAAATAGAAACATAAGATAAAGGTGGTATGATTGCAATGTGTATGGGAGTTGGTGGGAAGGATGCCTGAGGCCCTCAGGGGTATGAAGAAAAATGTCAAAAACAGAAATGGGTGAGAAGGAAAGAAGTGCTACCACAGAGGTGAATTTCATCAAAGCACACAATGGGAGGGTCAGGAAAGATCCACAAGGGTGTATAGTCCTAGATACACTCGAAAAGGAATTTAATTTACAACATTCTGCTTGATGACCTCTAGTGACCAAAGGGCATTCACAAATGCCTGAGGCCATTCCACTTGGGGATAGCAGGAAACTTTTCCTTATCCTGACTTGCTCCTAATTTTGTCTTTTGGGACCAGGCAAAACAAGTCAACTGCCTTCAAATACTTGAAGTCACATATCATACCATCTTCCTTCCACATCTTCTCTTCTCTAGGCCAAGAATCTCCAGTTCCCACAACTGATCTTTGTATGAAATGTTTTCTAATCCCCTTACCCTATTGGTCTCCCTCTTCTAGATCATAGGGTAATAGATTTCAAGTTGGAAGGGAACTTATAAATCATCTAGGCCAACCCCTTCATTTTACAGATAGAGAAACTGAGGCCCAGGGAATTTAAGTCACTTGCCCAAGGTCATACAGGTAGTACACAGCAGAGCTGAGTTTCAAACTCAGGTCCTCTAATTCTAATTTCAGTATTCTTCCCTTTATACCACAGTCCCTCTCCAACTCGTCAAAATTCTTCCTAAATTGTGGCATCCAGAACTGAATGGAATACTCCAGGTGTGGTCTGACAGTGCCAAGTGCAGCAGATGTGCCTGTCAGTCCCCTTGTTCTGGACATTGCCTCTCTGGATGGAAAAGGTTTCACAGAGGTTAAGATATTTGCTGAAATAAGTATTCAGTGCATAGTAGTACATGCTTTTCCAAAAGCAGCATGCTTCATATACCCCCAAAGTCCTTCCAAACCTAGAGTTCTATCTGCCTCACATGGCAATTGTGAGGAAAGAGTTTTGCAATCCTTAGAACAAATGCAAGTTGTTGCCATTATAATCGTTGTTATAATGGTGATTCTCATCATTATTACTAGTTGTACCATGCCTATTTGCCATATTTTTTGAAGTTGAGGGCCTAGGTTCATATCTAGCCTCTGATGTTTAGCGCATGTGGAACCTAGGGCAATGGCGGTAGCCATGAATAGAATACTGGGCCTAGAGCCAGGAAGACTCATTTTCCCCAGTTCAAATCAGGCCACAGACACTTATTAGCTGTGTGACCCTGGGAAAATCACTTAACTCTGCTTGCCTCAGTTTCCTCATCTGTCAAATAAGCTGGAGAAGGAAATGGCAAACCATTCCAGCATCTTTGCCAAGAAAAACCCAAATGAGGTCACAAAGAGTCAGACACAACTGCACAACAGCAGCAGCAACTTAGGGCAGTTTGCTTAATCTCCTTGGGCCTCAGTTTCCTCATCTTTAAAACGAAGGCGGACATTCTGGCTGAAGTCTGCTCTGGCTCCAGATATATGATCCTACACTCATTTACACTTCATAATGAGAAAAGAGCAAATTGGCTTTTTCCAGTAATGACTTCATAAACAGTTTAATCTTTATTAAAATTTTTATTAAATTTACTGCCTCTCAGGTCCAATACACCAATAAGGATAGCAATGAGTATGGATTTGCTGGGCACAGCAACAGATGGCCCGAGAGTATTTTTCAAGAGGCCGCCTCCCCTCATTGGCGCCAGCCTGATCTCATGGCTTTTGCCAGACCTGCTTCCTCTCTTTGTCGACTGGTCATCAGTCCTAGCCCTCCGATCAGTGAATATATCTGCAGGGTCCCCTTGTTATGAACTGCCTTCAGGCCAAACCCCAAAATATCTGCAAAGATTGGTAGAAAGGCAGGGGAAAGCAAAATACGGCCAAGATTTTCTTTAAATGTGGCACTTTTGTTGGTTCATTTCTTGACTTTCACCTTGAATCATTCTTCCTTAATTCTAAACTTCAGACAGAAAGCTTTTTTTGGGTGGCCAGACATCTTTTTATTTAAGCTCACAATTTTACAGTTTCTATTACTGCTTCATGGATATTTTTCTCTCTGGGGACACTAACTATCTGCAGAGCAACAAGGCTGCAAAAAATATATTTATAGGATTATGGGATTCATATGTGGAACGAATCTTAGACGTTATCTTCTAGTCTCATTCTCTCACTTTGTGGAGAAGGGAAGCTGACCCCCAAGGAGATGAAGTGACTTGTCTAAATTTGCTTAGCTTAGAAAGTAGCAGAATCAGGATTTGAACCCAGAGAGGCTGATTTCAAATTGAAGATTCTTATTATATTACACCACAGCTGCCTCACACCACAGTTACATAGCAGATAAAACTAAAGAAATAATTTTGAGAATCATCGATATGGGGGTCATGATTGGAGGCCTGGTTCTTTCTTCCTTTCTTTTTTTTTCTTTCTTTCCTTTCTTTCTTTCTTTCTTTCTTTCTTTCTTTCTTTCTTTCTTTCTT